CCAAAAAATGAACATAACTGGTGAATGAAGATGTGAATTCATTTAGCTCGTTTGTAACGCGAGATGACGATATTGTATGAAAGTTGGTACGTACATGAACACGGGCCTCCAGGGTTAACTGAAAAGTTTCAATAAAAATTTATGTGGTTGAAGGTTGCGGCAAGCTTTTGAAATTTTCCTGCTAACAGAAAATGAAAAAATGGCTCGTTTGCAACGCAGAGATGACGACACGCAAGATTTGGTATGTTTACGCGCAGTAGGATCAAGGAACAAAATATGAAAGATTATGAAACTTAGTGAAGAAAAAGCGTGCCCAAGTTTTTTCCAAATTAGTTGATCAACTGCTGAGGTAGGCAAAACTTCCAATTCACATAAGTTTCTCGAAATATTTATATAAATCTCTACACCTAAAAAGTGTATAGTAACGTTTTGTTTCAAAACTTAATGTTATATAAAAGTCAGCCGAGCACTTTATCGATAGATTAAAAAAAATTTGTCCGCGACCATGGGACCAACAATCTATTTTACGTCTAATAAAATAGTAGGCTCTGATTTTATCAAATTTGGTGAAATTTTCGTCTGTTCGCTCCTCACATGCACGACATCGTATACTACGCTTATTTCTGCATCCCATTAATTTCGACAGTGTATCTCATCTTTTTGCAGGTACGTTTTCATTCCGTCATGCTTATCTCTCATTTTTTCTCCTTTTTAAGTGTGCATAACCTTCTACCATCTATGTTGTCTCATTGATATGAATATGCGAACCATATGATGGGCTGAGGGAAACCACACTTTGCTTTTCTGGTAAATGCTCATCTTCGGTTATGTGGGTCTTTCTCTTGATTACTTGTAGGAATAAATATATAAATTGTTGTTATATGCAATCAATTTAGGTAAGATCCTCAAGGACTGCGTCTGAGATTGAGATCACCCGATCATCCCGTACCTTGTGAATCTTGAGACCAGCTCAGAGCCAGCGGTCTCATAGCGCGATGATACTCAGGTCGCCTATATGCAAATCGTTGTCGAATACGTTCCTAGCCAAATATCATAACTTATAATAACGGGCTAAGGGTGTTTACGTGACTTTGTGTGTGTGTGTGTGTGTGTGTGTGTGTGTGTGTGTGTGTGTGTGTGTGTGTGTGTGTGTGTGTGTGTGTGTGTGTGTGTGTGTGTGTGTGTGTGTGTGTGTGTGTGTGTGTGTGTGTGTGTGTGTGTGTGTGTGTGTGTGTGTGTGTGTGTGTGTGTGTGTGTGTGTGTGGTGTGTGTCTGTGTGTCCGTAACGAAATTCATAGAGCGAGTTCCAGCCAATGTCCTGAGCCCAGTTGCACAGCGCATGCTACCAGCGTAGAACTCCACCGTACAAAATCACGAGCAGATTCGTTGGGTGGATCCATCAGAATTTGCGAGTCAGACGGATCCACTTGGCTTCTGGCCCACAAAATTGGGTCTGTATCAACGCTTTTTGCAACGTGGATGAGTTTGGCATGTTGATGTGCAAGACATGGACTTTAGGCGAAAAAGTGACTAAAGGTCTACTACTATACCATAACGACGCCAAAAAGAAATGGTTGCGCAAATGGTCAATCCGCCGTGGCTCTACCTGACCATTTGAGAGGATTTTTGCATAGAAATGTAGCTCACGGTAATTGTTGTCCTTATGGCGACTACCAAGCCAAAAGAAGTTTAAAAACCTAATCGAATTTGCATTTGTTCTTCTGCGAGTTCCATCCACGCGAAATCACCGATCTCACATGAAAAACCCTTTGAAATGAGTAGCTGTTCACATTTCATTCGTGGTAGCCGTCATTGCACGGTGAGTTTCAAAGACATCATTAGGCGAGAACACGTAAAGCATGTAAAGTAAAATCAGTGCGAGCCTCTGCGAAGCAGAAGTGACGCACTGGTAAAATCAATAACTGAGAAAAATTTTAAAAAAATTCAAATCAGTCTGCAGAGCTGAAGCATTGATCTATCTTCTGCGAACAATATATACATTGATGATGAAGAGTGGAAAAGACACAATGAATTTTGCAATGATTGACGCTTATCAACTCTCCTGCTTTCAGACATAGTCACTAAAACTGCTGCTTCTCGAAGAAACTTGCGGGTGACGTACTAGTCTAAGTCCACATCACACATATCTATCTTCGTATCTAGGGCCCGGCACGTGTCAAAAGGGGTTTTTGAAAACGATTTCCCCTTTGACCTCAAAATTTTTTACGAATAACCCTTTGACCCAAAAATTGATCCCAGTGATTGCGCGGTAAACATTTCACCCAGAGAACAAATTTTATTGAAGAAAAAACTTCGAAAACAGCTTCCAAGTTTCCTCCTTCGTAAACCTCGGCATTGTTAGTAGAAGTGTTAGTAGATTAGTAAGCCGACTGAGGTTAGTAGATGTTTATTGGTTAGTGGCGGCCTAACGCTTCGACGTGTTTGTCTTCTTCATATTAGTGGCACTTCACTCTTCATACTATTCCATACTAGTGGCACTTGAGGAAGGCCGCATTCAACATCCAGCTGAGCGGCAGCGACGGAGGAGGCCTCTGAAGAAGACGAACACGTTGAAGCGTTAGGCCGCCACTAACCAATAAACATCTACTAACCTCGGTCGGCTTACTAACATACTAACACTTCAAAAACAATTTATTTATGACAATAGCAAAGAAAAAACAAATAAGATCATGAGATCGAGCAAAAAATCTTGGGATTTTGTGCTTGCCCGGGCTTATTCGCTACGCTGAATCCAAAAATCAACACTGGAATGCGCGAAAATAGTGAGAAAGGGCTCTAACGCAAGCGGGAACTTGCAGGTGGGCGGGGCTGTTCACGCTGCGATTCTTTCAGCTTCAGGAGCGATCTTCTCGGTTCCGATTTTATGTCACGCGTTTGCAGTTGACTGGTGGCGATGTTAGGGATACTAGCGAAAGCGAGAAGATCGCTGCTGAAGCTGGGAAAGTGACGTCACAGTGCGGCCCCACCCACCTGCAATTCCCCCCCCCCCCCCCTGCGTTAGAGCTTTTTCTCGCCGTTTTTGCGCACTCCACGGTTGATTTTGATTCAGCCTAGCGAATAGACCCTTGTGAGCACAAAACTGACTTTTTGCCCGAACACTGCTTCTAAGATACTGTACAATAGAATGTTCAAGAAAGTGGATCACAAAACCTTCTACCCCCGATTGATGAAACCTCTTATTATTCGTCTAGGAAGCAGTGCACCTAAGTCCTGCACCTTACATACATTCCGTTTGTATATGCGGTCCTGCTGACCAACTCAAAAAATTTGTTGGCAGGACTCCACTTTCTAACGAATGCACTGGTGTGAGAATTGAGTGATTCAGTATAGCAAGAATCCCCCAACTTCTTGTTCTTGTTGTATACTGCATTTAGGTCAGTATAGCCAATCGTATTGTAGTACAAGCTTTTTTCTTCATTGTAAGAGAGCAATCCAGCTGCAAAGTAGACCTGGATCCGTACAAACAAAGGATAAGTTAAAACCTTTTAATCAGCAGTCAATAAAGTCTACAGTCAATAGGTCAGTATACAATACCGATCATAATTCGTCAAAAAAGTCGCCGGAGTGCGGCGCACTCCGCCGCACTCCGCCGCACTCCGCCACACTCCGACGCACTCTAGCGCACTCCGCCGCAGTCCGGCGACTTTTTTGACGAATTATGAGCGGTATTGTAGCAAGTCAGTCAATAGGTTTTCCGCTTAATATAGCGTGCTTGCACCGTAGGTGAAACGGTAAAATTTGCGCGTAAAGAATTAGCCACGCCAGTAATGCCACTATTCTGCACTGGCCGGCGTCACAGGCGTAGCTATTTGTTCACGCACAAATTTCACCCCATTTCACCTACAGTGCAAGCACCTATATTAAGCGGACAATTCACTTGACTGAAGATACACAGACTACCCAGACTCGACAATCTTTCCTTTCAATGTATATATTTGAATAATCGCAATAGAAGAACTATTACTTCATATTTCTTAAAAATAGTAAAACCTTGCCCGCGGTGTTGAAGAACGAGAACTGAAGTGCTATGGACGAAAGGATGCTTCTCGCTTTTTCAAGTTCCCATCTAGCAATAAGCAGAAAGGACCTCGTAAAAAACTGACAAAATTAGTATGCGGTTGTCATCTTTGGATGAGAGTACGGTACATTAACCTCAAAACAAACATGCTCTTACTCGTCGAAAAAACTTCCTTTAATTACTTTGAAAGCATCACAGGTAAATGGTGTGCTTTTCATTTTCAAGTCTTCATCTTGCAACGAAAAGGAACTCGAAAGATGAGGTCCCCAAACAATTTTTGTCATTTTTCGCCTAATTAATTGTAAGGTAACAAGCAAAAATGCGCATGTCAGCGGAAGCCGAACAAGTTCGTTATCAAAGGTAGACGGAAGCAGGACAAGGTCTTTTGATGCCTTCCCACTTAGAATGACTCTTTTCAAAAAAGCTTTGCTCCTCAGGAACTCACAGGTATGGCCTACATTCACCGCTTCCAATCATTCTAAACCCTTGTATGCAGACAATATTTATAGAACTTTCACCAACAGCAACAATCGTCTATTAACGAGAAAAATCAGCAACTAAAATCCTACACACTTGCACATCTCAATACAACGCAATATCAACACGGCATGCAGTCAGGGTGAAGTTACCCAGACACAAACTTCGTATGTAAGCTAACACATACCGCAGTAATCACAGTTCGTTATCAATTTAGAAGCGAGAAATGATGAAGCTCTTCGACAATCTCATTTATACTTCTCGCACGACTTCGTCTATTCTACAAAAGTTCATAGTACGAACCGACCTTGAAGTTACAGTTCCCCGTATAAATCTCGATATCGCAAGTCCACTGCAAATTGTGCAGCAAAACACAGAAAATCACCATTATCCCTTTTCAGTCGGACTCAAAATCCTCAGCGCTTAGTGATCTGCTCTGTGGTCCATCGAATTCGTATCCGAGTTTCCCGAAAACGTCGAATTGTTAGGAGTACAACAGGAAGTAATTTAATGCTTTTATTGCACCTGTAATATCCTCTAGTTCCAACGCCACATATAACAACAATCTTCTCTGATTATGCTCGTAGAAAGCTATTCTAGCTGCCTCTTCCATGAGTAACTGGTCAAAGCCCTAAAAATGATCAAAGTTTCACAAACAGGCAAAAGCTGCGACTGCACAATGACGGACCTGATGTTGAAATTTTGATGGATTTCCAGAAACCGGCACAACAGAACCGTAGACATGAAGTTCACGAATAACTGATATTCGTCCCTTCAAATTCATGCTATTCATACGTACACGCGAATCGGAAGAATGTAATAGGTTAGCGTACCTTTAGCTTCGGACGATGAGCCTTGGCTGAGATCTTCCTTACGCAACAATCCGAGAATGTCCTAAAAAACATGTAAAACGCGCGTGTCCACAGACGAAAAACATAGAAAGATTAGATGGATGTCCAAGTGCCAAACGTGAAAGCAGATAGGAAAAAACAAAGCCAATGGCCGTGCCATAGCAAAAGACGATTTGGAAACGACCAAAGCAGCTGTTAGAACATGGAAAGCAAAAAGCATACTTAATGTTAGAGTGAAGACAAATGCGCGATATTTCAAAAGTACCTACCTGATCGAGGTCTTCATATGACAAAAATGTTTCCGGTCCACCATTCGCAGCATAGTCTCGTCGTATCACTTCGACGATACATGGTCTGATTTTGTTGTGGATTTCCTAAATGCGCAACTGTCAGAGCAAAAGTGTTACGAGGTAAATGACATGAGTGATAATGTACATGAATGATAATGTGAACCTGCCTTAATTCCAACTTCTCTCGTCCGCACATCTCTACAAGCTAGGCCAAGCTCTTTCATAAGCGATAATGCATGTTCTCGAAGATTGCCAAGTTCCATTCCATTTGACGCCTACAAATCACAGGTGTTAAATTACGGCGAACGATCCTGTAATCTCACCGTGGCATTGGGATATCGCGCTCCACTCCGGTCCAAGGTGGAATTATGGAAAGAATTCGAACCGCAAGGTCTACCAATTGATGGGGGATAACTCTAGAATGGTAGTATTACGAACAGTAGTGATAAAAAGTTAGAGGAAAACAGAAGAAGGCAAAATAACAGCGTAAAAACGCCGATTATAGCACCCAGCGACGCCTTATCGAAGCGCGCTTTCCTCCTTAGGAAACGGGGCTGAGGCTATTTTTGCTCTAATAATGAGGAGCCAAAAATAGCCTTCCCCTGAGGAGGGAAACCAAAATTTCGATATATACTAACCTTTAGGTGTAGAGTAGATTTACCTGAAAATTTTGAAAAAATTATGCGAATCGAAAGTTTTGGCAACCTCAGGTTGTTATTAGGTTGTCAAATGGCAGCCTAATTTGGAAATAAGTTAGGCACGTTCTTCATTCACATAAGTTCTTCATAATTTTTCATACTTTGTTACTTAGTCTTACTGCGCATATACACACCAAGTCTCGCGCGATTTCGTTTTCTCCGCGCTGCAAATAAGCCATTTTTTCATTTTCACGGTAGTGGGAATTTTCAGAAAAAAAGCTTGCCAATACCTTCAGTTACATAATTTTTCAATGAAACTCCTAAGTTAACTCTCAAAGGCTTGTGTCCACGTACATACCAAGTTTCATACCATATCGTCATCTGCGCTTTGCAAACGAGCCATTTGAATTCACATCTTCATTTGCCAATTTTGCAAAATTTTGGGGAAAAATGCTTATTACTTGTTCCTTTCACATAAGTTTTTCATAATTTTTCAAAATTTAATAAATTTAATAATTTAATAAAATAATTTGTTTCCACTAGCCTCTCTCCGTTCGCTTACAAGATTTGGTAACATATCGTTACACATTGAGAACTAGTTATGTATGCTGTTACAAAACGCATCGGTTGAACGACGTCGCGCGTGCGGCAATGAGCGACTGCGCGGTTTGACGCGCGCGAACTTCAGTGTTCGCCTGTCGTAGCACATAACATGTAAAGATAAGCATAGAACGTGCACTACCAATTTTTTTTCGGGCGCCCCGAACCCCGCAAAAACGAATTCCCCTTTGCTTTTTGCCGAAAACGATTTCCAGCTTGTCATTTGACAACCTCGTGCCGGGCTCTGTTCGTATCTTCTGTCTCCTAGAAATTTCCCATGGGTACCAACCATAACATATGATTCATTCTTTGAATTGTAAAATACACGAGTAAGCTATACATCTGATTAACATGTTCATGAGTGCGTTCTACGCATTTTGGTAGCTACTAATAGGAATTCATGAAAAAACATGTTTGACATAGTAATCTGTGGTTTTCTTTCCATTTTACAGCAAGCACTAGTTATTATATGAAGCATACAAAAAAATTTCCATAAGGCTAATACGAATTTTACGAATTTTCAAGAATTTGCAAAAAAATTACTCTGCAATTAAAAATATAAACAATTCATTTGCACTGTTTTACATCCCATGTAAGTAACTTTCATAAATTCCGCGACCACTCTGGGGGAGGGGGGGGGGAAGGGGCTCGGCCGCCACTGCTATAACGGTATGCCCAAAAATCAACTGATTCATCTTACATTTTGTGAATAGGATTACAATGGAGTGAGTATCTTGAAAGCAGCGTCCGGACGGATTTGGACATTATAAATACTATCATGACCGAGTACTAGGGCTCGCTCTTGAACTATTGCACAAATCCGACTTTTGTACACCCCCTGTGAAAGGAGAAAATCGGCGCCGAAAACGCCAAGGCTCGAGGACCGAGTCCACTCCCTCGCACGGCACGCCCCCTTGAACGAACTCTCCTCAGCGCTTGACGCTTTTTCACGTGGCACACATAGTTACCTAGTCTACCTGTTGAGCTTGCTTTCGACAAGGATTGCATTAGAAGCACTCGTCCGTGTTCTTCAAAAAATTGTCTTAAAAATGTTTTTTGGGGGAGAAGGAGAATTCGCGCATTTTGAAATGGAATATTTGAAGTATTTGAAATCAGCGCCATGAAAAGGCTTGGATAAAACAAAAAAATAGAAGACAAGATTCTGCGAACTCTACCTTTAAGGGTCGCAGATCACTCAGAGCAGCAGGATTAGGATTAAGCTCGCTCTCGTGCTCAAATTCAGTCTCCATCTTATATATAAAGCTGAATGTCTGTTTGTCTGTCTGTCTGTCTGTCTGTCTGTATGTATGTATGTATGTATGTATGTGTGTGTACGTATGTTCCGAATAGAAAATTCCATTTCTGAACCGATCCGGACCAAACTTGGCACACATACACATCGGGCCCCGGCGGGTGTCATAGGCTACTTTTCGTCATCGATCGATATCGATTTTATCGATTCTTTTTGCAAAGTTTGAGCTACGGGGCTGGGATTTGGCACAGGGGGGTAATCGAGCATGCTGATCACCCCCGTGGGGGTGATCAGCATGCTCGATTACACCCCTCTGCCAAATTCGAGCCCCCTAGCCCAAATTTTGCAAAAAAATCGATAAAATCGATAAAATTAATGCACGGTTTCGAAAACTAATATTGTATTCGTAATCAGCATGCTCGATTACACCCCTCTGCCAGCTCCCAGCCCCGTAGCTCAAATTTTGCAAAAAATCGATAAAATCGACATCGATCGATAACGAAAAGTGGACTGTGACACCCGCCGGGGCCCGAAGGGTATGTGTGCCAAGTTTGGTCCGGATCGGTTAAGAAATGGAATTTTCTATTCGGAACATATGGCGGAGCCGGGTAAGCCAGCTAGTACCTTATAAGCGCCTTTATATGCGAGATAAAATAAGTCTATTTTTCTAGCATTTTTAGTCCAGATTTGAGTTATTAGGTCGTCCATAAATTTGCGCCGCTCTCTAAGACTATAGGAAAATTATGTTGGATAAAGAAACACACATGGACGAATTTCGTCCTACCACCAATACCGAGATCTCGAAGTTTCGAGTACAAAGGAATTGTGACTTTCAAGAGTCCTATTTGCAAAGCTTAATTCGGGAAAGAGCAGCTGATAGTAAATTATTATGAAATTTAAATTTGGCAGGCATAATATTTGTCACAACAAAAAAAATTATGCTTTTATGAACAAGTCACTTATACTCATAAAAAAGTGAAGCATTCCAAAGGTTTGATCTATCCGTCTATCGTCGAATGTTTGTCGTCGAATGTTCAAACATGAATATGAGACTTTTGGATAGCCAAAACTGGACATTTTATACATCGAATTATTTTGAAAGGCAAGGGCTTCGTCATTGCCAGACCGGAATAGTCCTTCATAAAAAAGGCTTCCAGGCTTCAAGGATTTTGTGACTACGCCAAAATATATGTATAAGAGAACGTTACATGGGTTTCAAGGTTGGAAAGAAATGAAGCAAAAAGCAAACACGTCAAAGAAGTGTGCGTCGGACTTTTTGCTGTAGGGCACTGACAGATAAAATTGTGAGAGGGCGCGACCGCTTTGCAAAGGATACGCGCAGTGATGCTTGTTTTTGCTTGGGTGTAGAGAGGATGTAGGGCGTCCGAAAAAATGCCCCTGCTATGTGATCACGAATAACTTTGTTGCCTTAAAATCTTCAACAGACCATTGAATGTCATTTTGTAGAGCTGGCTCCAGCTTAGATTCACAGCACAAAACTGGTTATCGATCTTTCTATGTTACTGTAAGGTTGCCCTAGAAACTGGAAGCTTTTGGACCACTAAGGGTCTTATTTTGTTCCAAAAAGAAAACCAAACAGCTGAAAACACTTAACGTTAGAATAAAAAGAGCCGCTGATTTTAATTATAGTATCTACTTTAAAAATTCTTCCGTAAGTTATGCCATTTACACCGTTACAGCTGTCTTCTCTATCTTCCTTAAGAATGGGATTTTCACTGCTTAGAAAGCTTTCCCAACTTGTAAAAGATTGTGTCAAAATTAGCGGAAGTGAAAATTTTACTACAGAGCTTTTGATTTTGTAGTTTTCAAAAAGCAGCTAGTCTACAATGACGTAGGGTGGGGGTCCTCCCTCCTGAGAACGAAGAAACGAAATTTTTGAAAGCTACTTTTGTATGAAAAACTGCAAGTAACTTGTTTCTACTTATAAATAGTCGAAATCAGTGTGAAGAATTAAAAAATCCAAATCACTTCTGTAGAAAAAAAATTGTGGTGCTGTAGCCGCGATCACGTCCCTTTTCTTGAAGTTTCGGAATTATGAGCATGAAAGAATTCTGAAAAGTGTCTCAAAATTGCGTGGCACAATCACACAGTGACGAGGTAAGAGTGATTCCTTTTGCTCTGTAAATCTAAGTCTAAGCCAGGTTTACAAATCAATCCTCAAGGGTTCGCGAACGATCTCGAGGCAAGAGAGTTATTCACAATCAAACATTTGAGATACGTAGAGCGCGGCTTGCACAGCAGGGGTCTCATCGGCCGCCCGGAAGCCTCCGGCTAAACGATCGCTCGATAGCCCCCGGCAACCAACCTTGATCAAAGTGTTGAGCAAACGGTGAAAATGAGAAACCATTGATTTTCCAGGCGTGAGCTATAAAAAGTACATCAAAAGGAGTTTTTGTTAGCCAGCTTCGCTGCTGGCATACCTGACCTTGGCATCAAAAAAGCAAGAGGTGCTATTAGGAGCCGATTAGACATTGAGAAATAACGGCCTCTAAAAAAAATAGTGTAAAGTATTTCACGATACAATTCTTACATACAAGACTAGATAAATTCCATTGGGGATTTTCAAATTTTCGGAGGCGTCTTGCAGCGAGAAGGTGATTTGATACCATCATTCTGAGTCTCATCGGAGGTTATGCATGGCTTGACACTACTTTCTCTGGATTCTTTGGATTCTCCCAGACTAATTTCATGCAAAAGTGTGAAAATTATTATGCATTACCGGATCAAGCACTTGTTGGGCCTTCAGATTGCTAAATCGCAAATTCTCCAATGTTTTACGGGACCTTTTTTAGAATCTGGCTCGATTTATCGCTCTTATCGTCTTAGTTAGGGAAATATAACTAACAACAAGACTAATAAGTACCACCTGACTGAAAAATACACAGGCAACCACGAACCCCCTATTATGCACCTGAAGATAGCGGAGAATGGTCCAACTTCGAGTTTTATTGTCTTTTAAAATGTGGCTTCACTTTTCTTGGCGCAAAACTTTTTTTCTTGTTTTTGAACTCGGCAAGTGATAACCTCATACAGAAAGTAATCCAGCAGTTGTTTTGACGTGGTGAAAGCCGTAGAATGGTGCCTCTTGACCGTCTCCCCTTCTGTCGGCGTAATAGCCATTTATGTTGAATTAGAAAGGCGCAAAGCACAACGCTTTGTTTGAGTGTATTTGAGTATAAAAGTCATTTGCATTTACGTTCATTAACAGAAAAACATGTAGAGTAAAATGCCATTTTTTCTAGAACCTGTGGCGTAATAGCAGGCAAAATAGCCATGGACAATCATACTTCATGCTTCATCAATTTTTCGACTAACAAAATGCCAATAAAATAGTTGCTCTTTGCGCCACACTAACAATGCTCTCGAAGTTTTCAAACAGGTGCTTTATGTGACCGCTTCTCATCGCTGTGCCCTTTAAAAAACTTTGCAATTTCTCTCTCCTATCACTTGTAAAGGCGTCTCATGTCTGTACTGTTTGATCTTGCAGAACTCTCCTACCTCGAGGCCTTTAGCAAATTAGAACCAATTTTTAGAGCCAACTTTAGCTTAGATTTAAACCAAACAATGCAGGAGGTATCAACGATCTCTTTATCACTTTATTACCACCGTAGGACTTCCCAGCAGTTTGCATCATCGCTAATTAGCGTTTCAAAAGAAAACTTCCAAAAAATTTGAAAACTATGTAACAAATTTATCATTCTTGCTGATTTTAACATTCAGCTTTTTAGAAGTCAGGGAAGCTTTTCGAACGATGTCAACGCATTTTTTGAAAAAATTGAGAGCAACAGTTGTCACAGCATTTATGGCTTGATTCAGAAGCAGACTTTTACGACAAAGTGAGCATATTCAGAGTCATCGACTCTGAATACATAGTGTAAGTGTTTTCGGATTGCTTGGTTATTTTCCTGAGGCAAAATATGGTTTTCATCAACCTAAAACTTTCTTCGAAATTCCTACCGTAATCCTGCACTAACAAAAAACGATCTGTGACCCGTTTTCTACCGTAAGTCTAAGTTGAAGTCAGCAGAATGTTATTGATCCTAATATGAACTATCAGGTTGGAACAAGTTTTGCACCATAGGTAGACGTACCATTCGATAAAGCAAAGTAAGCTTTACAAAATGTTTGTTTAAAGTTTGCACCATTTCTAAAGTAGGTTCAATACAAAAACTAAAAGATTCAAGAGCGAGAGTATCAAAAAAATCAAATTTTTGTCCAAAAAACCCTACGAAAGTCATAACTTGCTCATGCGTATACATTTCATTTCAGACATTCATATATACAATTTCTTGATTTTTCCCCTAGGATGATTAAATTTGAAAGTGAACTAGAAAATTTACTTGTTATGTAGCCAAAAGGTTAGCGGAAGTAGAAGAATCGAAAAGAGCAAAAATTTGACATTGGACCCATAAGATCGAAAGAAAATATGGGTATCTTCCCAAGAATATTAGAACGTGGGAGAGGTTTTAGCAGAAGAGTTTCACGAAAGCGGCTTATTATTAGGAGCTGGAGAGTTATTAGAATATAATTTGGCAGAAAATGGTCGATGTTGGATACACTGAGGGCATTTGTGCTTTCCCGAAGGTGAGACATATAAATTTAACGCAAATTTGCTGGAGAATTTCAGAGAGATAGAAGAGTTGTTTTATACGGTTTAGTTAGAAAGTCGTCGAAATAAAAAAAGAAATTCATTCAATGGTTGGAACTTGAAGTCTCTCAGATCGGGTATGCAGGCGTAATTCAATCTGCCAAAGTCGTAACTTTATTTGTGATTCGCGTCTAGTGTTTAGGATCAAAACGAAAGCCGGAAATTTTCAAGAAAATTTTTAATGTTCTTTGTTCTTTTTTTTGTAATTAGGACGAAGACAGTGACATACACACATATCTTCAAAAGAGAAAAGAACAGTCAGAAACGGTGAAAAGTTCGTCAAACAGACTTTGACAAGAAAACCACAAACAGTTTAGGGAGGCGTGTGAGAGTAGGAGTGGAAGGGAGGAGGTAGGGACAAAGGGAGATTCAGGCGCAGTGTGGCAGTGGAACATCCCGATGAACTCTGCAAGCTGACGTCACGATCTTCCCATACTTCGCTCTGGTAATAATACAATTCTCTCAGACTAGCTCTTCTAAAAACCTAAAAATCCATACTTACATTTATGAAGGCTGATGAAACTATTGACTTGAACGCAGCCCCAGCACTTTGGCAAAAGCAAGAAAAATATCGTCTTCTCGATTTCCAGCAAAGGTAAGCTTCCTCTACTGCGGATCTTCCGGAGAAGGCGGTGACGGTGGAGGTGGATTTGATGGATGAGGGTTTTTTGTAACATTAATTGCGATGTTGAAAATCTATTTTTAGTGGAGCACATGCCAGAATAAACAACACCGGGGCGAAGAGCGGAAGAATTATAGATTTAATCATATATTGAAAGGTTCCTGTCTTCACCATCTAAACATCCACAATAATGTAGCACAACGTACGAATAAGCGCTTGAAAACACACCATCATTCCAAAACCTATATCAGATACCTAGAAAGTGACGTTATGGTAACTAAAACGACAATTCTTTATCTTTAACTTTATCTTTATGTTTTACTCATTTACACTCAGGGTGTACAGTAACTACAACGGCAATTCTTTATCTTTATCTTTATCTTTATTTTTATCTTTATTTTAACACTCAAAGTGTACCACTCAAATTATGAAATACTATTGGTATAAGGCCAGTTGTCCTGAGCATTCAAGGAACAACGAAGAGGACGCTTGTACTTCGAAGAGGTAAGCGGGGGGAAGTACGCGATGGTTTACACATGGCGAACGGGGAAAGGAACGTCCAGGTGCGAGTAGATTAGGCTACTGTTGTAGAGCTATTCAACATAGACTGAAACTCGCTCCTATACTCGTAAATAATTGGAATAATTCTCAAAAAATCTTTAAAAATTCAAACTAGCTCCTTAAAAAATTTTTAGGGAGCGTGGCTGACGCCACGCCCACTTTTACCGGATTTTAGGGGTTGGGTACCCGCAAAAATATTGAAAAGCACCCCCAAAAATTTTTCGGAGTGCGTGGCTAACGCCACGCACCTTCATTTTGAAGTCCCCCCGAGCGGAAATCCTGGGTACACACTGGCCGATATGTATAGGGGAAACCTTTGTGTTTTTCTAATAAATCGTCAACGAGTCAACGCGTTCCACTAAGCTACTTATGGAGTTGTGATGCCAGATGAAAAGCACTAAGTACTGCTATCGCTCAAGGATAATCGCAGACTTTCAAGCAAGAGATATTTTCTTGGCCAGGTATTCACCATCTCTGTCGCTCTAATGAAAAGCTAGTAATTGCCTCCTATGTGAACGCACTTGCTTACAGAAAATTCTCTCGGGAAGAAGGGGTTTCAGAGATAAAAATTTGAGTAGGAGAACTAGTCTAACGATTTTCAAAGAAACAAACCATCAAAAATAGGAACACTGCAGAAAAATGGAAACATTTTCCTACAATTCACGTAATCTACACTTTCTAATAGTGCCAAGTCTGTGCTGTCCGATCTTTTATATGAAAGATTATGAATTTAAAGAAAGATGCAAAAAACAAAATTGATTTTTTTGCAGATCATAACTTTCTATTTAAAAGCTCGATCTGCACAAATTGACACTGTTGTAATGAGCAGCTTACGTAGACTGTTAGAAGCATGATTCCAAATTTCTACTGCAGCGTCCCAAATTTGATGATTTATTCCCGAAATCGAGAGTTAGAGCGATTATCCTGATGGAATTCTTATCTCCGAAGTTCTTCGTCGTCAAAGAGCCTATTGTTATTAGCTACATAAATTATTTTTGACGATTTTTACATGCGTATACGATCACATATCGAACGCTCAAGAGTTTTTCAAAATCAAAGCAACATAACTTTTGGTTCAATCTAATTCCTTGGCCACATCAAGGCAATAAAACTTGAGAAAACGCTCACAATTTCTCAAAGATTCTCTGTCAGTACAGCCCTTTCCGCAATTCTAAAGTTACTGCCCCGTTCATTCAATTGATTAAGAATTGATATTCAGCAAGGAATTATACAAACAGTGCTTGCACACATTCTTGACGCCTGCATGCCAGCCTCTATACTACATATCACTCATTCTCATACAAGAATGACTTCTAATATGATGTAGAGCAATTGGTAATAGTCAGCGTTACAGCTGAGGCATACACTGCTTGGTATACGATAAAAAGAGAAAATTACAGCTACGGCATGTACCATAAGTGCAAGAATGAAGGAAAACTTTACTCTGCTTTAGAAAAAGCAAGGTTAGAATGTTCGACTGCTTGTCGAACATTTGCATGTTAAATGTATGATTGCCAAAAAAAGACAGCAAACAAAAAGAAAAGAAAAAGGAAAAGCATAGAAAACAAACAGCGCACATCACTTTGGATCTGGAGCCAAATGGCTGAACATGCAGTATAAGTAATCTCCCGCATAATACCAAAAATACCACGCCTCCTGGTGGTAAACTCGGCAAATCACTTCAGGAAAATCCCTGAATCTCTGCAAAATCTCCGTAAGTTCGGTCAGAAAAATTACAATAAACAACATTAGCTTTTGATAGGGACAGAATTCTTGGGCAAAAGGGCGTATGCAAACCACGTTTCCGCATGCTCTTTAGCTGGGAGAAAGCGATGTTGTTTTATTATGTTATTTGCAACTCAACTTACACACAGATCTCCCTCTCGATCTGCAAATTTATCAACGTAAGCGGAAATTGGTTGATTTCGGAAGTTGTGGCTAAAACTTAATGATGCATACTGGGAAGTAACGCGAACAGCTTTCAACTTACTATGTTAGCCAACTCATATAGCTCCACCCTTTCCAACCATCATTCTCATGTGAGTGGTAGCCACTCCACCAGCCGTTTAGTACATCCAAGTCGAGCGCACAATGCAGGCTTACATTGTAGGTCTGAATAGAAAATTACATGTGATGCAAAAACTGTTCAAAGTTTTTTTCTTTCACGTTTCAAACAAAGCAATTTTGTTTTCATTTTATCAACATAAAGATATCTAACTCGAGCAACTAGTGCATAGACCTCTTAAGAGAAGTTATTATCAAGTTCTCACCAAATTCCAAGTATAATTACCATGGCGACGGCAATGGTCTTGAAATGCTTTTGCAATTTCATGGTTAAAAACAGCATTGTCACAAAGAACAACAGGACTAGGATGATTCTCACAACGTCTTTGCTGGGCCTCTGGGCACTTCACAGCGACAGTATGAGTTGACAAAACCTAAATACAGCAAACATCAACTATTACGTTTGAAAAAAGCAACATATGAGTGAACCGAATAACAACATTTTAAATGTTACTTTCATCTCCTCAAGCATTTTTCCATACTAAGAGACTTTTGCAAGCAGACAATTCTCACATATAACAAAAAAAGTGCTAGCACTCTTTCATTGGCAGTTCAGTGCGTTCCTGACAGGCGGAGTATACGTCATCCGCAAACGTGAGAACATGGTACGAGCCCTATCACGAGAGCATCAATGACATGCGAATTGTCTAGTTTTTATGCTCGTCATCATCGCGTTTCGAGTATTAGCGAAAGTGCTTCATGTATTTTTTTATCCAATTATATTCCCCATTCGCGGTTTCGCGCAATCGCCGCGCCATAGCATTGCGCTACGCTTGCGCGCTATGGCTTGGGCATTAATCTTTGCTTAAACGATTGCAGTCCTCATGCAAGGCAGCGTTGCGCATGCATAGCAAGTACACTAAAGGGAGTAGGTATTTGACACGAATTATAGTTACAATATTATTTTTGATCTCTTCCAAATTTGCACAGTTTTCTTCGCAAAAGCAGAAGTGTAATCTTGTCACAGGGTGTGCATGTGGCACAGTATTATATGCCTCCTAAGTAACTGTTTGTTTTCGTTAATTGTATAGTAGTCTATGAAAAGTGGCAACTCAAAACCTTTCGCACATGTTAGATTGTATGACCTTACATTTCTCAGTAAGTTAGGAAATACACCGACTAACCCGCTCTCAAAAAAGAATAGCATTTATTCAAAGTACCAAGAAGTGTAGTATTGACAGATTCCCTATTTGCAATGTGAAAAAATTTGAACGTATCAGGTTGGCTCATAAGTCTTTTCATTTTTGATTTTCGCTCTAATAATTCAACACTTCTTATTCAAAATAGACATTAGCATACCATTCGATAGAGCAAAGCAAGCTCTATAAGATGGCGTTTATGCTTTTGCACCAGCTTCGATTTACCTCAAGTTTGAAACCAAAATATAAAGAGTTTTGGATGCTCAGAAAATTTTGAAAAATTTATATTTTCGTTAAAAAAATCCTACAGACTTCTTACTCGCTCACGCATATACAGTCCACATCAGACACTCATATGTGCTGCTGCTGTTTTTTTTATTGTCTAAAAATCAGGAAACCGAAAATTTCCATGTTCTTAGTAAAGCGATGCTGTGCTTTTCTTACACTAACAGGTGTAGACTACGAGCGCTTAGCAGTACGTCACATTGCTCTTTATGAGCTGTAATTCCCAAGAAATATCGAATTTAGCTCTCTTTATTTGGGTTTCTTAACTCAACATTTCTCGGAAATCAAAGCTTATAAAGAGCTAAAAATTTAAGTTTGCACTTCTAAGGGCCTTGTTGTATACAACAGTTAGCTTAAGAAAAGCACAGCATCTTTTGGTAAAAACATGGAAACTTTTGGTTTCTCAATTTCTAGCTAATAAAAACTTCGACAATAGCGCTTATGAGTGTTCGATTTGGAATGTACATGGGTAAGCGAGTGAGAGATCTGTGGGACTTTTCCGAACGAAGATATTAAAAATTTTTAAGTTACTAGCATCCGAAACTCTTTAGATTTTGGTTTCAAACTTGAGGTGGACCAAAGCTGGTGCACTAGCATAGAAGCTGTGGTCTCGCTGGTTGAGCTTCGGCAGGCTCTCTCTGTGGCTCACCAGTTTTTAGAGTGAAAATTTTTCTTTTTCCCCACAATCTCCACAAAAAACCGTAAAAACCTCGATTTCGACAGAATTCCAGCCACAGAAAATGCCTTTGCCCCCGGAGAAAAGACCCAGCAAAAAGCTGTGGTCTCGCTGGTTGAGCTCCAACAGCCTCTCTTTGTGGCTTGCCAGCTTTTGGTGCGAAAAGTTTTGTTTTTTCGCAATTTCCACCAAAAACCTCGATTTCGACAGAATTTCAGCCACAAAAAATGGCTTTGCTCTCGGAGAACCCAGCATGCATCTGCATTGGTCATCCTTTTAAAAAAGCGATTATTTTGATTTATAAGCAACGAAAGAAGCAAAAAGTAAATTCTGGTGGAGGTGGAAGGAAAGATCAGATATTTTTGTGCCTACCTGTGAAGTTTGATTTTTCATTCTAGCTTCTCTAGAGAGGAGATGTGAACACCTTTGTACTTAGATGCAGTCCCAACTAAGCAAATACTAATGTATCTGCCCCGACCCACTTACAGCGGCCAGTAGGGCCGCTAGTCCTAGTATCTTTTCAGAATAAGAAGTGTGCGAATTATTACAGAAAAAACTCAAACATGAAAAGACTTATGGGACAACCTAATATTAGGTTGTTCCAAAAGTAATGTCGCTTTTCAAATGAACGTCACATTTCATGGAATCAAGATTTTCAAAAGGTCTAAATAGCATTCGATGCAGCATTTCATACTACTTCTCCTCTGGTCGTAATTTCATTGCGTGATATTTAATGCCCTCGAGAAATTACCAAAACCTGCGACTCAAGCTTTTTGACATGGTCAAGTTCTGCCATTTTTCTAAATTTTCGCCTATTCTTCGAAGACATGCAAGTTACATGTAGATAAAGCAAACCCTATAGGACGCAGAGCAATTTTTTTCTTTTCTTTAGCTTGCTTCTCAGAGTTTCTGGAATCAGTTTTTCAATGCTATTCCAATTGCATATTTGGTCAACTCAAACCTCACAAAACAACAACCGGCAAACAACTCGGGTGTCATTCGACGCAGCTTTTTCTCCTCTTTCTACCAGTTGTTTTTGGTCTTCAATTTATAATGTTTTCCGGGATAAAATTATCATGATTCAGGTTTTCCAGGGCTCCCCAGGTTGTACCCAAAATTTACGGAAGTTGCTAATCTGAAGCGGGTAAACGCTCATTTGCTTTGTGAAATTAGTGTGATACCGCAATCCATCTTTGTAAGTTTCAAAATCCAAAGATTTATTGGTGTTTGATGCTTTTGTGTCTGAGACGAGCCTGCTAACATTCGTTGGTTCCATCAAAAAATCTATTGAAAAACTTTACGATTTTTGGAAAGTAGAAAAAGGATGTGCTGTTTCCTGTAGGGTTTGCTCTGTCAATACATTATTTGGACATCTTCTAAGAGTTGTTGTAAAGATTTAGAAAAATTGTGAAACTTGGCCTTCTCAAAAAGCATGGTTAGCAGATTTTGATAATTTTTCGAGAAGTTATTGAATTTTGTGCAGTGATTAAATAACTATAAAGAAAATAAAATACTGCATCAAATGCTTCCAGATCTCTTACACATCTTTGTTCCACCAGATGTGACGTACTTTTGAAAAAAGCGACATTACTTTCGGAACGACCTAATATTTCGATTTGGATTTAGTTCAAAGCTTGAAATGCCACATAATGAAGACCTCGTAATGGTTTCTAACGATGTTCCACTTGATTCTGGATTGTAATGCTCTACATCTGTGAAGGGGCCTAGTAAATGCATCAGCCAATCTATCGATCTGTAAACTTTTTGTACAGGCAAAAGTCATTTTTGATCGTTATTTTTTGATCCAAAACTCATATAACCATCGTTATCATTACTTTATTGTTTAATGGGTGCACCTAAACGGTGAGCTGATTGAGATGCGGTGCAAAACGAACGAAAAGGAGGCATGTGTAAACGCTTATGAAGAGAAAATGATAGTTTCAAAAACGTCTTTAAAAATTCTTGAACGATTCTGAAATGCGAACCTAGAAAAAGAACAAGAACTAAGCAATAGTTGGCTGTTAGTTTTGTGCAACGCTCTGTTAGGTTTAGAATTACGTTGCGCATGGCATATAGTGAGCAACAGGCGACTAAAGCTAATTAGCAGTCACTTCGGAGGCTTTCTGTGTTTGATTCGCGTCAGGTTTTGCCTTTTACACATATTTTTTAGGCTTGGAAAACTGCTGTTTTCCTGAAAAAATCTTGTTCATTATTTCCCTCCAATTCCCACATTTATCATGACTGAACAGTGCCACACGAAAGGCAAGAGCATACCCTTGATACATAGAACGGTGTACTTTGCTCACCTTCACTTTCGGTACTACTGAGAAAAAACACTTCATCAGAAAATAAACACTGTAATTGAAGCAGTTATACTGATAATGATCCAAAAGTACCGCAGCAAAACCCAAAAATTTACTTTTATAGCTTTTCTTATGCTAGAAACGAGGTTTCTTCTAGATTTTTACATATTTTCGGGAGTATTTCCCATTTAACCCCTTTTATTTCTAATTATCAAAAGTTTAACACATTGACGACCAAAGCCTTTCTCGGACCAGCCAACATTTTTCAGATAAAATCACGCATAATTCCATCTACAGTACACCTACAGTAGCGTTGGAATGCTGGCAAAAACAGTAAAGGTTGTATCTAAATCCAGCAAAAAAGAAAACTCCCAGAGTTGGTTTGGCACGATTTAGTGGCTACTCAAATGAAAGTCATGGTGTGTCAAGCGGTCGTCAATGTGTTAAGGAAGCTCTGAAGTTCAATAAAAACAAGAATGCGTTTAAACCTTACGCTTAGAATTAGGCACAAAAATGTGGGTTCATTTGCGAGTCAGTGCTCGTCATGATGATCAGAATGTACATAATGTTGCAGGGGTTTCGTTGACATCACGCGAGGTCTACGGTTATAGCCAAATGTCCCGTCGGCAATCTTTCTACCTGCTCCTCTGCGTCTCCACGTTTCTGCGTTGTGCGCTACCTCGCTACACCAAACGCAAGGCGCGGAGCTTTTAGCTCTGGTACCCTTCTCTTCGTTGTTTCAACAAAAATTTTAGCAAAGTGTATATCATGTTGAAGCTCTTAATATCTACTTTTACGTCGACAACGTCGCAAAACTCCATTTTTTGATTTAAACGAGGAATCTGGTAAAAAAATAGCTTGTTTTTCCGTGTGTTGGATGGAGCTTCCTTCTGTTTATAAGATGGACAACGTTGCAGAGCTTGCTTCTTACTGAATTTATAGTTGCATAAGACACCGACACATTATTCAGTGACAATCATGAAGATAAAAATCCGTGACCCACCGCGATAACAGCCAAAATAAGAAGCATCTTAAATGGCTTATGGCTTCAAAACAGCTAACTTCTTTTAAACCAGGGATTGGAGGGTATGATCAAATACTGGTGACAAGTGCATACCAATGTTTTGAGATATTATAAGTTTGTTGTTTATTGACATGGTCTATGCACTTAATCGCGTGTTAATAAATCTAGTCATCTAGTCCTTAATGCATATAGAAACACATACATAACATCGCATAGTTCAGATCATTGACAATGAAGAGTCTATTCCAACAACCGACCATTTCAATTATTTGTTTGCATACATACATGTGAAAAGGGGAAAATGTCGACCTACCACCTTCATCCTGAGGTGGTAAAATCCATTGATCCCTTCCCTGGAGAGGCTGTGTTCCTGCTTTGCACATGTATGCTCGGCAGATAAGGAAGACAGATTTAAGATCAGGTTCGATGTTCTGCAAGAAGTCATGCGCCTTTTGGGAAGGCCACTTCGACTAAGGAACCTTCCCCTGTAAAATCATCTAAACAAAAAGGTTTTCTATTTCTATCCATGATAGACGTCTTGCAGTCGCCTTATTATGAACGCTAACTCCAAACTGGATCACAATAAAAACTACATACACTCATGATTAGTGCATGATTATGACAAGAAACATTCGAGAAGAAACTGCATGGCAGCCTATAAAGTTCCTACTAAGGTGCTAAAAACTCTATTTAGAAGTCATCCCAAACACTGGATCTATGAAGCATGTGTTCGACATTAAAACTTTCGCAGAAAGTTCAATACAGTCGTCTGTTTCACTAAACCGAATAAATCTAAATACCATTGGATTTGAAAGCTGCACAATGCTTGTTTCAAATTAGCACGCCTGAAACATCAAAGATGTCAACTGTTCCTTTTTAGCCGATATCAAGTGATAGAAGAATATTCCATCATCTAGAATTCAAACGATGAGTGTATCGCAAAACCAGAATCTCCTAAATCATAATTTCTTGAGACAAATACACCATTTTTCATAGCTAGTGCAAATAATCTATCTGTGGTATATTAAACATCTGACAGGGTGATAATTGATACATCCTCAGAGCTTCCTTTTATGCATTACTAAAAGCCATCAAATCAAAAAAATACATTGTCTAATCACAAGGTATCTTCTTCTGCAAAAGCTGTCAACTTTTTTTGGGTTATACCCTTCCTCCCTTGTAACCCCTCCTTTCTTGCACAACTGTTTTTTTAGCCAGTTTTTACACTACTATATCAAAACCCTTATCTGCTAAACTACCTTGACATCGTTTATTATATTTTATGATTAGTGAGATTATAATTTCAATAGATAATTAACTTGTCTTTTCAAATTCCGATTTTTCTCATCTTTTTTGACAATGCCACATTTCAAACATAAAGCATTTTTTCATTGCAGCCAAAGCTCAAATACGCAGAGGGGCGCCCATACGTTTCTCTTTAGCGTTTTTGCCAATCAGGGACAGATTTGGTCGGGCCTTCATTAGGTTAGTTATTGTGATCATCTTCCCATCTTTTCCGTAGACGATGTTGACATCATTTTCCGCCCACTTGACGCTTTGACAGCTATCATAATAACCTCAATCAAACCCAAGGAGCCAGCACTTTCTCATTTGCCAATAGTCTTTCGTCGCCGTCTACGGCAGCTACAGAGAATAACCGAAGGGGTTAGAAGAGGTTTGAATGCCATTGACATCTTTCAAAAATACTGCCATAGGATAAGTAGAAAGATAGGAACCACAATTCGACCGGTATCAGTTTTACAAGGACTGTGATTGCCCTGTTTATGGTGATACAACGAAGAAGCAATCCGCTTAGTGTTGATGAAACAAGGGACTGCATTTAAGCGGGAAATTTCACGAGGATCGCGATCGCCATACAACCCCTACAGGTCAAATGTAAAAGTTGCTGTCCTTATGCCAGGCGTCCTGCGGTAGTGATGGAGGTGGTTAAGGAGGAAAAGCACGAAATGTTTACTTTGGCGTTGGTGGCTAACTTGGCACACCATATATGTTATAGCTTTAGCTTGTAGCTGATCTTCCGTAAGAGGAAGGACAGTTACAGGCGGTAGCGGCTGTGGCGGCGGTAGTGTTGGTGTCTCGATAGGTAAAAATTTTTTGCAACATTATTTGAAGATCTGCTTCCAGTGGAGTACGCAGGACATATTTCATGCTGAGATAAACAACATCAGGACGAAGAGCGGAAGATTTTAGATTTATTCGTAAATTAAGAGGTATTTAAGAGGTTTTCAACGAAATAATCCTCCGTCTTGTTTTAAAAACTGTTTTCCAACTATGAACATCCGGAAGATTATAATATAACGTGCCAATAAACGCGTAAAAACACGCCATCATTTCGAAGTTCAAATCACTTAGAGAGTAACATCAACCGAGCGCTACTAATCCATTTTTTTTCAAAATTCTGCCCTTGTTTTTGGTTTATTGCTTATGTTATCAAAATCGAAGTTTTGATGACACAGATTATGGAATGAATAGATAAATGAGTGTTAGATGCTAGCCTGCCAAAATTCTCTGGAAGCACTGAATCCGGCGGGCGATAAATCGGGTTGAGTCTTCGTTTCGACTGGGAAGCCTTAGCCAACGTAATGCCAATTGCGAAGTATCATTCATTAGCGGAAGAATACAAACTGTAGTATTGATGAATTTAGTCAGCATTCTCAGCGGGTTAGTTGATTGTTTTGTATATTATGCATACAAATGTTTTAAGAGTTGAAATGCATTTTGAAATTTACTACTTATGCAACTACTTATCATTGCGCAATACCAAACGATCACTTAACTCTTTTGAGTGCCAACGTTGTCTCCGAAAAAAAAAAAGAACGAAATAGAGTATGAGTGTGTTTCTTAGTTTCTTACAGCATTTTTCGTAGACTTTGGAAAACAGCAGCTATGTGATTTGGGGTCTTTCCGTTTAGATTTTTCCCGTCCCGATCTTTGTATTAGGTTGTCCGAAAATTAATGCCCGTTTTGAATTTCAACCGCAAAAAGTCATACACTTCTCACTTCTAAATAGGTTGCAAAGTACCATTCGATAGAGCAAAGCAAGCTCTACAAGACGGCCATTTTGCTTTTGCAACAGCTCTCATCCACCTCGAGTTTTGAACCAAAAACTAAAAAGACTCAGCAGCCCGAAAAATCGAAAAAAATCGTAACTCAGTTCACAAAAATCCTACAAAAATTCTTGCTTGCTCACGTGGACACTTCCCATATAAGACATCTATATACGCCTTTGCCGTATTTTTCCCTCTATTAAAAATCAAGAAAACGGAAATTTTCGTGCATTTGCCAAAGTGATGCTGTGCCGTCCCCAATAGGTAATTGTATACTACAAACCCGTAGAAGTACAAATGTAAATTCTCAGCCCTCTATAAGCTTTAGTTCTCGAGAAATTTGGATTTTAGCTTTGACCACCTAACTAGGGAAAATTATATTCGGTATTTCTCGAGAACTAAAGCTTGTAGAAAGCTAAAAATTTAAGTCAGTACTTCTGTAGAGGCTTGTGGTAAACAACTACCTATGTAGGGACGGCACAGCATCACTTTGGAAAATGCACAAAAATTTCCGTTTTCTTGGTTTCTAATAGAGGGAAAAATACGGCAAAGGCGTATATAGATGTCTTATGTGAATAGTGTTTACGTGAGCAAGCCAATTTTTGTAGGTTTCTTAGGAACTGAGTTACGATTTCTCTCAATTTTTCGGACAGTTGAATCTTTTTAGTTTTTGGCTCGAAACTCGTGGTGGATCAGAGTTGTTGCTAAAGCAAGATAACCCCCTTGTAGAACTTGATTTGCTCTATCGAATGGTACCTTGCAACCTATTTAGAAATGAGAAGTGTATGACTTATTGCGGTTGAAATTCAAAACGGGCATTAATTTCCGGACAGCCTAATATTTGCTTATATTTTCGTTACAGATTTCTTCCTCAATTTTTTACAACTGAAATAAATATTGCTAATACATAATTTCGTCTTGACTCTCGCAATCTCGACGTTCTGGAGCAATCCGGGTAAATGTTAGCTGTGTTTTTTTTTGTAGAGCTGGGTAGCTTTAAAACTCAAAACCCATCACCTACTGATTGAACAAGAATTTTCTGTCTTGACAGCAGTTACGACCTTGTATAGATAAACTTCTCAAAAAAATCACTAATTTGACTCTGTTTCCGTTTTCGACCTGTAGTAAGCGCACAGATGAGAGTAATTTCGTTGTTGGATAACAGAACCTATATAACCAGGCCATATGGCAAGCCATGATCAGCCATGATCATGAGGTAATCGAGCATGCTGATCACCCCCGTGGGGGTGATCAGCATGCTCGATAACACCCCTCTGCCAAATTCCAGCCCCCTAGCCCAAATTTTGCAAAAAATCGATAAAATCGACATCGATCGATGACGAAAAGTGGACTGTGACACCCGCCTGGGCCCGAACTGTATGTGTGCCAAGTTTGGTCCGGATCGGTTCAGAAATGAAATTTTCTATTCGGAACATACGGCGGAGCCGGGTAAGCCAGCTAGTATCTTATAAGCGCCTCTATATGCGAGATAAAATAAGTTACTTTTCTAGCATTTTTAGTTCAGATTTGAGTTATTAGGTCGTCCATAAATTTGCGCCGCTTTCTAAGACTATAGGAAAATTATGTTCGATGAAGAAACACACATGGACAAATTTCGTCCTACCACCGAGATCTCGAAGTTTCGAGTACAACGGAATTGTGACTTTTAAGAGTCCTATTTGCAAAGCTCAATTCGGGAAAGAGCAGCTGATAGAAAATTTTTATGAAATTTAAATTTAGCAGGTATGATACTTGTCTCAACAAAAAAAATTATGCTTTTATGAACAAGTCACTTATACTCATAAAAAAAGCGAAGCATTCCAAAGGTTTGATCTATCCACTGTCGTCGTATGTTCAAAAATGAATATGAGACTTTTGGACAGCCAAAGTTGGACATTTTATACATCGGATTATGTTGAAAGGCAAAGACTTCGTCAT